AATAGCATGATTCAGCCCAGCGGAACTGAACTGAGGTGAAGGCTGGAGAGAAGGCTTGGTCTCCCCGCTCAGGCTCCCAATAGTCTGGAACCTCTTTCAGCCCCGGAGAGTTGTCGTCAACCTAGCGTCTAAGTCCTTCAGTCTCAAAGACATTCAAGAAAATGTCAACTTCTCAGAGTTAATGAATTGATTTTACTAGTTAACATCAAAGATCTTTCCACTGCAGTTTCCTTGGTCTACACCCCGAAAATTATCAGAAGACACTGGGATAGAGAATAACCTGGTGTTTCTTTCTGAGAAAGTTCCACTAATGTCAGAATAGGTAATCATCTTCTTTCTGGTGTTAAAATGTGGTGCTCACAGCCTGGCTCAAGGACAAGCTGGTTCCTGTACGTACCGCCTCTCCACTGGCTGGGGGATCCCAGCGGCAGTCCTTTGTTGGGTCTCCGCCTGGACACGGGGCTGAGAGAGGGCACAGAGGATCGAAGTCCTGAGCGATCATTTCTGCTTCTAATGGGGCAGAGGGCTCCCCTCACGTGCCATTAAAGCTTCTGTTAGACATCTTGCTTCAGGCTTTCATTTTTTTTTTTTGAGAGAGAGAGAGAGAAAGAGAGAATCATGGATGTGAGAGACATTGATCAGTTGCTTCCCAAACCATGGCCAGGAATTGAATCTGAAACCTAGGCATGTGCCTGACTGGGAATCGAACTCGTGACCTTTTGGTGTAAGGGTTGATGCTCCTACAAACTGCGAGCCACACTGCCCAGGGCCAGGCTTTCACTCTCAGTGAAACAATAGAACTTAAACTGCTGGATTGTATGATTTTTTTTTTCAAGTTTATAATTCCTCTTCTAGGTATAGTTGGATAACCTCGCCATTGTAATGCTATTAAAGATGCCTAAATTGGCTGTGAGTTACAGGTTTCTGATAATGGCGCGTTAATTTAAAATCCAGGAGACAGCTCTCTTTCTACCACAGAGAACTAACTCCTTAGTGTCTCGGGATCTCTTGTATTTCCCTTGTTCTCTACTTTCCAATCACCAGCTTTTCACTTTCCTTTTTACCTTTAGACTCCATTAGGATCTAGGTCAGTGGAACCTATGACACGCGTGTCAGAGGTGACACGCGAACTCATTTTTTTGGTTGATTTTTCTTTGTTAAATGGCATTTAAATATATAAAATAAATATCAAAAATAGAAGTCTTTGTTTTACTATGGTTGCAAATATCAAAAAATTTCTATATGTGACACGGCACCAGAGTTAAGTTCGGGTTTTTCAAAATGCTGACACGCCGAGCTCAGAAGGTTCGCCATCACTGATGTAGGTAGATGGAAGGCTGCTTGCTGCAGCAGCTTCCTCAAGTACATAACGAGCTCAAAAGTAAATCCGGTACCGCACCAAGAATTTACCAGCGCAGTAGGCACAACCTCTCCTATGCTCACATTATGAGCACTTAGCTCTGTGCCTGACCCACAGCAAGCATTTAATATGTGTTGGCCACAAAAGTTAGTTTTGTTTCTGCTCACTTTGCTTATTTATACCGTGAGCTAATACCAGTATCAGTATTTCCCTGGAGTTTGACATCTGGTCTAATTTTGGAGTTATTGCCACATTTTCCTGCCTGGATCAGTGGGATGCTTTAGTATTTACAGTGGTGAATTCAGATTTAAAAAAAAATTCCAACAGTGGTGCAGACAGCATGACCTTTTAAAAAACTGATCACAGGTGTGAGTCTATGGGGTCCACTCCTAGCATGGAAGTATTAGACATTTAACTGAATCAAATACACACAAAGGAATAATTAGCTACCTGGTGACCTTTCTGTCACCTCCTTTCATTATTCTCTGGTATTAATGATGTGGTTTTAGTGAAATTAAATTTGGGCGGCTCAAAAGTACATACTCACATTCAGCTTCAATTTCAGGTACTAGTTGCTTGAAGCTTGCTAGCAGAGCTCCTAGCATCATCAGTTATGAATTGGGTCTCCACTCTGGCTGTGTCTCATTATCATCCAGAAAAATTAAAAAAAAATGTAGATGTTCAGCCCTGGCTGGTGTGGCTCAGTTGGTTTGAGTGTTGTCCTGTGCACCAAAAGGTCGCAGGTTCAATTCCAGGTCAGGGCACATACCTAGGTTGCAGGTTTGATTCCCCATTGGGGGGCGTATGGGAGGCAACTGATCCATGTTTCTCTTTCTCTTCCTCTTCATTCCTTTCTCTCTAAAGTCAATAAAAAACATATCCTTGGGTGAGAATTTAAAAAAATACAGAGGCTCAGGTCCCAAAGAGTCGGCCTGAATTGGTGTTAGGTGGGACCCATTCACTGGTATCTTTAAGAAGGCTCCTCAAGTAATTGGGAGGGTTGAAGACTACTGCATAGTTGTACAAGAGACTTTGGATATACTGACTACATTTTTACTTGTGCTAACTAACTTGGTTTAACTCTCCTCCTCACAAACCAAGGCCCACCTCCCTTCTCATTTACTCTACAAATACAAGTTACAATGATAGAACAGAAAGAGCATAGCTTTAAGGCAGATGATTTCAAATCTTGTCTCTGTCTTTTATTAACAGAGTGACCTTGCAAAGATGCTTACATTTACTGACTTTTAGCTTCCCCATTTGTTAGGTGGGAATAATAATACTTCTTTGTAAGTGAAGGTTAAAGTAATAATGCGATATGAAAACATTTCGTACAGTCCCCAGCACACAGTAAGAACTCAATATATGCTCTCTTTCCTTTTATTTCTTTCTGTTTTTATTTTCTTTATGGGTAAAACAAGAGGCTTGGTCCCCAATTCTTTGCCTTAAGCATTGTGATTAGAGAAAAAACAACAACACATATTATTCTCCACACATTCAGCTTATGTTCAAGAAGAAAGCTTTTGGCACACAGTTGACAAAGAATGAATTTGGAGTTTCTTTTAGTATCATGTCCAAATATGTCAATTGGCTGCCCTTTCACTTGATGTGTCTATGAAGTGGCTGGCCAGTGGGGATGTGGTTTCAGTTGTGGGAACAAGATTTTTTGATTGAGTAATGCCATCTGTTTTATGTGGGTATCAATCTTGTGTCTTTGACCACCATTCACTTGCTTCAACCACATAACCATCCACTACTTTATACTTGTAATATGGTGGTTGCACCTGGCATTTATATTATGGCACCTGTTTGATGTGATACACTTCAGAGGAGCCCAGGTGAAATCAGGAAATATCTTTCAATTACTACCTGGCTAATTGGTTTTTGTAAAGAAAATAAAATATTGCTGCCTCTTGATCCATTTCCAGAGAGGCATAGTTCCAATATAGTGTGGTTTCAGGAAACAGTCTGTGATTCATGGAGATGACTCAGTAAGTCATCTGCCTTGATAAATTGTGACACATACTGCCTTTGCCTGGTCATTTGGCTCCAAATGGAAGCTCAGGCAAATGAGCAAGGCTCTAAGCTTCTTTTATTACTTAGTTCAGGTGAGCCAAAGCAGAGGGCTAGGAGGGTCTTGCATTCTGCAGGCTCAAGGGAATTGCTTGTGTTATAGGCAGATAAATTGACTATGGGGAAAGCCACTTTGATGACGACAATATGATCCTCTGCTGTTTCCCAGAGCCTGGCAAAATGTAACATGAGATGCAGTGCAACTGGAGGGTTAGGAGCAAGAATTTGGAAATCATAACAAGCTGGATAAAGCCACATTTTGGTTTTATCACTACCTATAGCAAGTGTCAGCAAGCTTTTTTTCTGTAAAGGGCCAGCTAGTAAATATTTCAGGCTTTGTGGGCCATATGATCTCAGTCACAACTATTCAACTCTGCTGTTTTAGTCAAAAGGGATCACAGACAATACATAAATGAATGAACATGACTGTGTTCTAATAAAACTTTATTTACAAAAACAGGCAGTGGGCCAGATTTGGTCTATGGCTGTAGTTGGCTTACCCCTGAGCTACAGGATCTTGTACTAATACGTTACTTTAATCCTCTAAGTTTCTCTTAAGATACACACACACACACACACACACACACACTAGAGGCCCAGTGCATGAAATGTGTGCACCAAGGGGGGGGGGGGTCCCCTCAGCCCAGCCTGCACTCTCCAATCCAGAACTCCTCAGGGGATGTCCAACTGCCAGTTAGGCCTGATCCTGTAAACTGGCAGTTGGACATCCCTCTCACAATCCAGGACTGCTGGCTCCTAACTGCCTGCCTGCCTGATCGCCTTGGGCCCCCTGCTGGCCTGGTCACCCCCAACTGCCCCTCTGCTACCAACCTGGTTGCCCCCAACTGCCCCCTCTGCTGGCCTGGTCACCCCCAACTGCCCCTCTGCTACCAACCTGGTTGCCCCCAACTGCCCCCTCTGCTGGCCTGGTCACCCCCAACTGCCCCTCTGCTACCAACCTGGTTGCCCCCAACTGCCCCCTCTGCTGGCCTGGTCACCCCCAACTGCCCCTCTGCTACCAACCTGGTTGCCCCCAACTGCCCCCTCTGCTGGCCTGGTTGCCGCTAACTGCCCCCCCTACCCGCCCGGTTGCCGCCAACTGTGCCCCCTGCTAGCCTGGTCGCCCCTCACTGGCCCCCATGACGGCCTGGACACCCCACACAGCCTACTGCTCAGTCGTCTGGTCGCCCCTCACTAACCCCCCTGCTGGCCTGGTTGCCCCACATAGCCTGTTCGGTCATCCATTCGGTTGTTTTGGATATGACGGCCCTTGGCAATATATATATACACACTTATCATGTGCTTGATATAAAGTAAGCACTTGTAAATAGTAGTCACTAATACTTTACTAAAAATATTATATATCATAATTTAAGATGCCATTAACTGTAAGGTACATCTGGATTTCAGAGTTGCTAAAATGTGATAAAAGTCTTAGAATTGATGAAATTAACATAACTTAATTAGAGTAAACATATCAAGGTATGTTTAGGATTTTAAGTCTTATTCTACCAGTGATAGTTAAAGCTTCTAGCATAACATTTCTTTGTGATGTTTTTCTTGTCAGAGACACGTGTCATGAACTTCTGGGACATGTTCCACTACTAGCGGACCCCAAGTTTGCTCAATTTTCACAAGAAATAGGCCTGGCGTCTCTGGGAGCATCAGATGAAGATGTTCAGAAACTAGCCACGGTCAGTTTATTTTCAACTTAAAAACCTGTTCTACTTATGTTCATTTGTAAGGTAAGGAAAGCTTTAGAGTGATCAACTATGGATTTTAAGGCAAAGATGCTGGATAGGGCATGGTGACTTTATCTTCTCCCGTGTTGTGTTCTTTTGAAGCAGTGTGCTTAATAACCATCCACATACTTGTGTTTGATTCTTCTCATTCAGGCTTTGGCTAAGTAGTAAATCTTTTAGTTTTGCGGGTCATACATAAGGTCTCTGTTACAACTACTCAGCTCAACCACTACGGTGCAGAGGCAGCCACAGTATGTCAATGAGCGAGTATGGCTATATTCCAAGAAAACGTCATTCACAAAAGCTGGTGGTGGGCCAGGCTTGCTCTGTGTGCTGTAGTTTTCTGACTCTCATTTTCAATGTTGATTTTCTAGAAATATTAATAATAGTAAAAGGTATACATTTATGGTGAAGCAGGGGTTGTGCTTGGGATTATGTCTTTGATTAGTTGCTATGGTTGTATTCAGACACAATTTGAGTCAGCATTTAGAAGCTCAGGCTAAACAATTATTGTATGTACAAAACCAGAAAATTTTTATAGATGCTATGGTCTCAGCAAGGTTCTTCTCAAAACATGCAATATGAGAGGGAAGGTGTAGTATTGGCAGCTATCTTGAAGATGCTGATGAGCCAGATCTGACAAGTTCATGTGACTTATTTTAGCCCCATTTCAAAGAGATCATAAGAAAGAGCAAGCTTGGCAAACTCACTTACCTACAGGGACTAGTCAGGTAGTCTAAATGAGCAAAGCTCCAAGAGAAAGAAAAAAAATGGGACTTTGAGTTGTGTGTATTTGATACAGACACACATGTAGGGCATATTAGACATGCAAGAATATTCTTCACTTCCACTAAGAAATAAGTTTTTTCTTAGACTTCTTAAGACACACAGCCCTTTCAGTATATCTTTTGTCTCCTACTTTTTTTAAAAAAAAATATTTTATTGATTTTTTACAGCGAGGAAGGGAGAGGGATAGAGAGTTAGAAACATCGATGAGAGAGGAACATCGATCAGCTGCCTCCTGCATACCCCCCACTGGGGATATGCCCGCAACCAAGGTACATGCCCTTGACTGGAATCGAACCCGGGACCCTTCGGTCCGCAGGCCGACACTCTATCCACTGAGCAAAACTGGTCAGGGCTTGTCTCCTACTTTTGATAGAGATATGGGAGCTGGCAAATACTTCTTTACTAAAAGAGGAACAGCACTGCAAAAGCCACACAGTTGGTGTAGTGTAGGCATGAACAGGAGTTAGTGAAGACTCCAGTGCACTTCGGGAGAGCATGGGTCTTCTATAGCAGAAGGCTGGTCCTCTTCCCGCTCATGGCTACCAGATGGAAATGCAGGCTTTTGTGTTGCCAGACCTACACATTTTTGAGCGAGACTGGCAATCTAGATTTCTAAATAGAATTGAATGATTTTTAAAATTTGGCTCATAAAAAAATCTACCATTTTGAGCTGAGAAAAATATATTTGTAGACCAAATCAGGTTCTTAACTTTCCAATTTGTCACCTTTGCCCTAGGGCAGTGGTCGGCAAACTGCGGCTCTTTGGCCCCTTGAGTGTGGCTCTTCCACAAAATACCGACTTCTGCGCATGGGCCACGAAGTTTCAATCGCGCTGTATATGCACGCCCACACATGGTATTTTGTGGAAGAGCCACACTCAAGGGCCCAAAGAGCCGCATGTGGCTCGCGAGCCGCAGTTTGCTGACCACGGCCCTAGGGAATGTATCTCATTTATATTGACTATCTGTTTTGCTGCATAACAAATAACCCCCAAACTTAGTGGCTTCAAACAATGAACATTTATTACCTCACTGTGTTTGTGGTTGGGACTTTGGGAACAGCTCAGCTGAGTGGTTCCGGCTTAGGGTCTCCCCTCTGGTTGCTGTCAAGATGTGGGCCTGCGATTGTCTGAAGGTTTGGGATCTTAGGCCAAGATGGGTCACTCATGTGGCTAGGAAGTTGTAATGCCTTTTTTGACTTGATCTTATGCTGTTCACATCAGCCATATTATATTCATTAGAAGGGACTCAGTCCTGCCCACACTCAAGGGAGGGGAAATTAGGCTTCACATTTTTGGAAAAGGAGTGTCAAAATGTTTGTGGATATATTTTAAAAACTATCACACATGAGTCCTGTTATTTAATTCTCAAATCTTGGATCTGGGTTTAAATTCCACATTTTGGAATCTTTTTCCCTGCCTTTTAAATTTTCCTTGAAATTTTCTGCTTTCAGCATTTGACCTCCAACAGCTCTTTTTAAATTTTTTTTAACAGCCCTTTTTTTGATCAGGGATCAATGTATTGCTTACTTGTTTGACTCTGAACAGCCACAAACTGGGATTTAACTGCCAGGTTGTGTGTGTGTGTGTGTGTGTGTGTGTGTGTGTGTGTGTGTCTAAAGAGAGGAGGAGAAAGACTAAGGTAGGACTTGATGAATGTCAATGAAAGTGGATCCTAGTGAGTGAGTGATCTTTTTTCTTAAAAGCAGTGACAAGAAAGCAGTTTGATTGTTCCTTATTTTTTATACTCCATCAAATGATGATTAATTAATTCCATCCTTCAAACTAACATGTACAAAGAACATGACATGGTTCCTACTTTTTAGACCTTTATAGCCTATATAGAAAAAAAAAACACACCAAGATTTTTCAGAGGAGAGAAACTTTGTACTGAGTCTTGAAAGATGAGAAAAAGCCAGCCAAGTGGTAGAGAGGAAAAGGGGGAATCCTATATAATAAGAGAGAAATATGCAAATTAGGTCAGGACATCATGACCAGCTCAGGAGACTGCATCACGACCAGCTCAGAGCAAGCCCCCAGCCCCAGTGGACACACACCACACACCAGGGCTGCGGGCGGGCTCTGAGCAGCTCGGAGCCCGCCCCCAGACCCGGCGCTACCCAGCTCCGAGGCCACTCCTGCCGGGGGTTTGCAGGCAGGCATGCTGCACCGCCTGCCCTGGGACCAAGGTCCCCAGCGGACCCGCCCAGGGGGGCGTGCTACGATCCGCCATGGCCAGACTGTTGCTTAGGTCCGCTCCCCGTGGGGAGCAGGGCTAAGCTGTCAGTAGGACAACCCCTGAAGGCTCCCAGACTGTGAGAGGGGGCAGGCTGGGCTGAGGGACACTCACCCAGTGCACGAATTTCATGCACCAGGCCTTTAGTAGAAGGATAGTTTCAGCTGGAATAAGAAATCTCTCTGGTTTGGGGGCTCAGCAGGGAATGCCTGCTCCCCAGTTTTGAGGGCCATATTGAAGCCCAGGGTAGCCTTTGTGTTCACTTCCTTTTGCTGCTGTAACCGATTATGCATGGCTTAAAATGACAGAAGTTTATTTTACAGTTTCATAAGGTTAGAATTCCAATATAGTTTTCACTGGGCTGAAGTCAGGTGTTGGCAGGACTGTGTTCCCTTTGAAGGCTCTGGGGGAGAATCTGTTTCCTTGCTTTTTCTGGCTTCTGGATGTTGCCCACATTCCTTGGCTCATGGACCTCTTCTTCCACCTTCCAAGCCAGCATGTTGCACATCTCTCTCCCACTGACTATTGCTGGGAATGGCCTTTTTCTTGTAAAGACTGATATGACACATTGGGCCCACTGGATAATTCATGCTGCCCTTATCATATCTACAAAGTTAACATATGTAAAGATTCTGGGGATTAGGGCATGGACATCTTTGGGGGGCATTAGTCTTCATTTGTATTTTGATATTTATAAGAAAAAAAGCTAATATATGTACCTTGAAAACTATTTATTAGAGCCAGTAAATCTGTAGGATGATCAAGTTTCTTTTGGAACTTACCTTTCTTAGCATGATTCCAATACCCTTGGCTGTGGATCGCCCTGCCTCTAATAGCTGAAAACACTTTCATCTGTTAGAGAGCATTAGGTCATTAATCATGCTTCTCTCTCTCTCTTTCTCTCTCTTTTTTCATTATCCTTTCCCTGGAATGTACCTGCCTTTCTGAAATAGCCAATCAAGTCAACAGACATTCTTTAAGAGGTTAAAGAATCTCAGGTACCACAAAAAAGGGATAAAAAAAAAACCTGAAAGGTAGTACTTGCTTCAAAGAACTAACACTCTAGTACACAGAAATACAGAACACTCCAAGTCAGTGTCAACTTTTATTGAGATACATGAGCAGATATGTAGGAGAAGTGGATTTAAGGTAAATCTTCTAAGTGTGTGTGAGTTCTGAGATTGGAGAATGGAATTCAGAATGGGAGCAGGGGCCAGCAGAGAGGGTCTTCACTGTATAGGAAGTGACTGGTGACAGGTGAGGGAGGATCAACGATCTCCCAAGGGAGCCAACCTGCCCAGAATCTTGCAGTTTTTTTTTAAAAAAAGCAATCAGAGTGTAAACTTGCAAAAGACTTTCACCTGGAGGACTTTGGGTCTCTTCTAAATGCAGTGGAGATTTGGGGTGGAGAGGTGGTGTCTCACCATGGTTTTGCCTGATCTTACTGGTATTTCTCGTTTCCCCATATTGCATGAGCCCCAGCCAACTGTCTTTGGTTTCCCCTCTCACGAGCTTCACAGTTCTTATCCTTTCCAATTTTAGAGATTGCCCACTTACTTTGAACAGTGTTTTGCAGACCAAAGAGAAATTTGGAAAGCCTTTTCAGTGTGACTGGAGGCTCTGGAGCAGCGGTTCTCAACCTGTGGGTCGTGACCCCTTTGGGGGTCGAACGACCCTTTCACAGGGGTCGCCTAAGACCATCGGAAAACACATATATAATTACATATTGTTTTTGTGATTAACCACTATGCTTTAATTATGTTCAATTTGTAACAATGAAAATACATCCTGCATATCAGATATTTACATTATGATTCATAACAGTAGCAAAATTACAGTTATGAAGTAGCAACGAAAATAATTTTATGGTTGGGGGCCACCACAACATGAGGAGCTGTATTAAAGGGTCGCGGCATTAGGAAGGTTGAG